GTTCATAGACTAAATCAGGCATTATATAATGATTTTTTAGAGGAACAGCTATTATGAGGAGTGATTTTATTATGAGATGATCAAAATAATCTCTAGCTATAGCTTCCATGTTCAATACGTCCTTTACTCCTAAATTTCTTGGCCTTTGTGATATTATTCCTGAAGCCATCCACATATCAATAAGTTCTTAAATATTGAATTTGTGCTTTGGATGAAATAAGTTGTAATACCTAAAAAAAATGCACTTCTAGAGGAAGATTCACATAGCTAAGATGAAGAACCTCTAGGACACATGGTATAGCAATGTCCTATAAAATTGTGGGTTTAGGAGCACTCACTGTGATCCATCTTACTTCATAGATGTTCTCCAAGTGTTGTTACTATTAGTGGACAACTATTTAGCTTTTTTACAATCTCCTCACTCATGAGATGAAATCTTTGGGCATCATAAACATTGACCATTGGAAATGCACATGATTTAAACACATCTAACATATGTTTTTTTCTTAAACCATCCAAATACAGCTCTATGCAATATTTTCTGTGTCTCTTCAGTACATATTCAATAGAAAGAATAACAGATTTCATCCTTGTGTAATCATAATTTGACTTCCAACATAAGATTCATACAAAGGATACAAAAACCGCTGCTACTTATGATGATCTTTCATTTCTTCCCATGTATCATCTAAAATTAGCAAAAAAAACCTTTTGGATACCAATAACCTTTTAAGCATATTTTGAAGTACATATATGAATTCAGTAGCAAGTACTTATTTGGTGAGAGATTCTATAATCTTTTTCATCAATCTTAGAGGATCAAAATGCCTTGATACATGTATCAAACAATACTATCGAAATGCATCAACACCCTCTCATCATGGCATGCATATTGAGCAAGAGTAGTCTTTCCCACACCACCAACATCAGTTATTGCAATAGCAAGGACATCGTGATGAGCAAATAAACTGGTGGTTAGCCATTGGATTAATTATTCTTTTACAGTGTCTTTTCCAAACACCTTATCAAAACCATTGACTAGTCTCATGTAATAACTTTTGGTCATAAAGAGAATCCTTGGACCTTTTCATGTTGCCCACATGAGAAAGAAAGTTTGCCACACCATTAGATACTAAATCTAACCCCCACCGTTTAGCTCTTCAACCTAGACAGGAGCTAACTTTTTTTATATTTGAGGACTGAGGTGTAGCTTAATGAAAGGGGATGATGCAGCCAAGGTTTTTCTGCATACTTTCTTCAAATTATAAAACTCTAACTCATCTAAGGCATCATCAACCTTCTCCATACTTGTTAAGCCAAAGAAATTCATCTAGTGCATGTCTATCATCATCTAGCACAACATTCAAATCAATTGCCTCAAGAATGGCTTGAAGTGTAACAGTCAAGAGCTCATGTACCTTTGCCTTGTCTGGTGCTGACAGACGATGGTTCAGGGACTTCATTGTGAACTATCTAATGGATGAAGTGGTAGCTATTGTCCCAATTGCTTTCCCAACAAATTCACTAGCAAAAAGAACCTCCACTCTTTAAAGTTTCAATGCAGGAACACCACCAATTGTTTTAGGTGGACATCAGGCCAAAGCCAATCGATGGAACTATAGAAGTCAAGACTTGCAAATAAAATCCAAAAGGTACCACATATGAGAAAATAAGAACCTGCTCATGAAATGTAAATAACAAGAAAGAGTAGCACAACATTGCAACAGTACATATCAAATTCAAGTCATTATATTAGTAGTGAATTCCATTTTTATAGTACAAGTAGGGATTAGATAATCTTATAGGTGTGAGTTTGTGACAACGTGGACATTCCTTTGGTCTCTGAAACTTCTTTGAAGGATTGAATGGTGTTTTTGTCATGAAATACCAATATGAACACAACAAATCAACGAGGTAACAAATAATACAACCACTCAACCAGTACCCACATATCCTTTCTTTGGCTTCTCAACTATGGGCAATGCTTTCATTTCATTGAAAGTGCTACTACGGAACAAGGCATAAAGGATATGTCTAACATCGCTCAATCACTATCACAGCAGAAGTAACTACAAAACAAATTGAGAATGAATTCAAGATCAAGGCAGGATCCTCGTCTACTTGGTGGTGGTTTGCATAGAAGATATCTAATAATAGGTATCAAATGAGGTTTCCCCATGCTAAAGTCATTGAGGACATTGCCTTTTTCACTGAAATGAGAATGAGATTTGTGCCCTCCATGGGATTTAAAGTGGAAAAAAGGAACCCTGCTAATGGTTCTAAAGAAGCACTTGATTTTGACTCAACCAGTACCCACATATCCTTTCTTTGGCTTCTCAGAGCTATGGGCAACATCAAAATTGGTTGCTGGGATGTCACTAAAGTGCATGTCATTGTGGATGGTCTCTTAGACTTCCATTTCTATGATTACCAGTTCTAGAGAGAAGTGGTACAAGAAGGAAATACCAACCTTGTTGGAAACAAATGGATAAGGGCTGGAGGAGTTAAGCTTAAAGGAGACATTCCCTCTCCTAGAGAAACAAAGTTGGACAGTGCTAACAAGACCACAAGCATCTATGAGACATGACCCAGTAATATGACATGGTCTGGGAAAGGGAAGCAATTTGGGTAGGAGGACAATATTGTGCAAATGAAGGAAAACAAGGAAAATCTAAAAGTCGAAAGTGAAGATGAAGAAATGTTAATAGAAGATTTAATTTAGCCTGGAAATGAAAACCTGATATTTGGTGACTTCAAAATATAGAGATAAAGAAATTGTGCTACATGCATTTTTTTTACAACTGCAACACTATTATAAGTGAATATAGCTCTAATCTTAGCAAATTCATATTTGACCCTCTAGCTGCCATTGAGGCTAATAATGCGCTCTATGCCAAGTTATATCTGGGTGGTGCACTAGCACCAGGCAAAGAAAACATATTTAGCACTAAGTATCTTATTTCGACCATATAAATTAGTTGAAATTAGACCATGTTTCTATAGTGTTGTGAATAATGTGAACCACCATATATAGATTTTAAGCTACCTTTGCCCCTGTCCACAAAATGTCAATTCCTTTAAAGAATTAAAGCATACCTAAAAGGCAGCAGCAGTAAACCACAATTATTTTGAAAGACCACATCAGACCCTCGGAACAACTTAGCAAAATTTATGGGGATATCTAGGATAGCAAAACAAAACATAAACGAAAACTAAGCAAGCAGGACCTAGTTCTAGAGCCGAGATGACCATCCAGCAAGCTGTTTAGATAACGTGAACCTGCAGGTCCCAGCAACTTGCCCAAGTCCCCAGGGCATCAAACTCTAAAGGTGGTGGTACGCCATGATTCCTTGTCGCTTCGGTTCCATGCAGAAATCCAAGCAAAGGGAGACGCATTGCTCTTACCTTGAGGAGGAGAAGGAGCTGTGGACTCGGAGAATTTTGGTGGACGCGTAGCGCAACGAACAGCGAGTTAGGCGGCTGCGACTGGGGCAGAGCCGCAGAGGCCGCCACCGCCATAGTCGGATGGTTTGGAGCGAGTGGGACACCATCAACATGAATGGGGTGGGTGCTTGTTTCTCTTTCTCCTCGTTATGCGATTGTGGGGAGGGAGTCCAATTGGGCCAGCCACAATGAAATCCTAGGTCCATCGAGTGCCGGTGGGCCGTAGCCGTTCTTCTCCATGAAAGAAAAAAAAGGAAAAAATATATGTGACGGGAGGAGGTGTTTCACTAGAGTGGAGTTTGTTCATGAAAGCCGGAGGTCCAATGTTGACGCTCATACTCTAGCCAGAAGCTCAGTTAATTTGTCGTTAGAAGGCATGTTTGGTTCATCACTCCACCTGGTAGAGTTTTGTACTTCATACTCTGTTGAATAAAGAGATCGGCTTCTTCTAAAAAAACCATTGCATAAGTTTAAGCCGACCAGGGGCATTCGCCAAGGAGACCCTATTTCTCGAATCTAATTATTGAATCTCAAGGGAATCAAGGTGGCTCCCTCTGCCCCGAAGATAAATCACCTACTCTTCACGGGTGTTTGCAAGATTATTGCCAAGCTTCTGGTCGGTGGGTTAACATGGACAAATCGTCTGAAATCTTTTGTGGATATGAATAGCAACTCTCATCCTCACACAAATCATTGAACATATTTTTCAGTAACGACCCCAAGCATCGTGTACTAATGGTGATAAACTAGAACAATGCCAACAAGCGGGATGCCGTGCCCAAGTAATGTCATTATAGAGGTCGCCATGCATTGTCGCCAGTTAGAATTGTACTCGATCGTTGACCTCCATCACTCGTCCTCGCCCCATTTTGCATGTAATTTTTTCATCTTTCAATAGATAATCCACAATATATATATTATATATATAACTAAACCATGAAGGGTTTGGGCGTAACTGAGCTCACCTGGGCTTAGTGTTGAACATAGACGTTGTCGTGATATCCCCAGATGGAGGAGGTTGAAGCGGCATCGCCGGTGGTGGTGGCGAGACGGGGCTGGCATGAGTAGAGGCTGAGGACGACGCAGCAGCACAAGCAGGGGCACATGGCCGGTGTGGCGTGGGTGGAGAACTGGAGACAGCACAGCTAGGGAGTAAGAAGAGAGAGGTGGAGACAGAGAAGAGACAGAAAAAGATGAGGGTGGTCGAGAGAGTGCCAGCATAAGAAGAGATTAGGTAGAAATAAGTCTTTTTTCAAGAGACGACTAGTATTTTTAGCCGTCTGTAAATCATATTTCTAGAAATGGCTAAAAGAACGGGCCATCCCTGCCGGGAAAATTGCCAAGGGCGATTCATAAGTTGTGCTCCAAGGAGACTACATTTGTAAAGGCACTTCTTAATATCGTTCACTCATCTTTGAAAACCGTTTAGTGTAAATCTTGTAGAATAGAATTATTCACGTTTTTGCAATTTAACGTCGCACATCTCATGCTATACAATTACACAACCAAAAATAACGCACATATGTTTTGATCCTACTACCAAAGACATGATGATCTTATTGAGGATACCATGGCTTAGCAACCAAACGTAGGATCGCCTTAAGCCTTACGGATAGCCCGTTCAGCTCCTCCATCTCCACCTTCGACGCCCCGCCAGCCGGCAGCGCCCAGTCAAAGTGGTACAGTAAGCTCGCCAGAGCCAGTTCCATGGCTGGCGCGGCGAAGCCGACCCCAGGACATCCTCTCCTCCCGGCGCCGAACGGCACGAACCTGAAGTCCTGTCCAAGCAAGTAGTCCGTCTCGCCGTCGTCCGCGAACCGCTCCGGCACAAACTCGTCGGCGCGCTCCCACGTCGCGGGGTCCCGTGCGATCGCCCAGGCGTTGACGATGACGCGGGTGTGCGCCGGAACGTGGTAGCCTAGTAGCTCTGTGTCCTCCATTGTCTCGTGGGGCAGCAACAGTGGCAGCGGCGCGTGCAGTCGGAGCGTCTCCTTGATCACGCACTTGAGGTAACGCAGCTTCTCGAGGTGGTCCTCGGTGACGACGTCGCTGCCCCCGCCGCCGACGACCCCGCGGATCTCGTCTTGGACCCTGAGCATCTCCTGTGGGTGGTTGACGAGCTCCGCCATGGCCCATACCAACGTCGTGTAGGTCGTGTCCGTGGCGGCGGCAAACAAGACCTGGATGGCTACGTTGTTTACATCTCCAAATTATGATGATCGCTACATCTCCAAATTTTGATGCATATGACGTACCAGCATATTGGCCTTGATGGCTACGTTGTCAAACTTGACACCGCCGGCCTCCTCCTCCGCCTCGTTCACGTCCAGCAGCACGTCTACGAAGTCCCGGTGATCGTCTTCTTCCCGCCGCCGGTTGCCATGACGCCTCTGGCGGTGGTCCGTGATGACCCGGTCGAGCAAGGCGCCCATCTCCTCGGACGTGCGCGCAGCCTTGGCGTCCAACCCCATAAGAGTGTCGACCCACGCCAGCCACGGCACGAGCTCCCCCACGGTCACCGTCCCAAGCAGCTCCTCGAAGTCGGCGAACAGGTTTGCTAGCTTCTCACCCTCGCCGCCGTCGAGGCCGTAGCTCCCGTCGTCGCCGAACATGGCTCGGGAGATGACGCCGTTGGTGTAGGAGATAAGGATCGCGTTGAGGTTCACGGCGCCGGCGCCGCGGCCTCCGGCTCCGGCGCGGCGGACGCGGCCGACCATCGCGGCGGCCTCCTGCTCCCGGGCGTGGCGAAAGGAGTGCACGCGGCGCTGGCTGAGGAGGTGGAGCACGCACACGCGGCGCGCCTGGCGCCAGTACTCGCCGTAGGGGGCGAAGGCCATGTTGTCGCGGCCGTAGAGGAGGCGCTCGGCCATGCGCACCCTGGGGCGGCTCGCGAACGCCAGGTCCCGGGCCTTCATCACCTCCTGCGCCGCGGCCGCCGAGGATGCCACCACGGTGAGCACGCGGCCCAGGCGCAGGAGCATGACGGGGCCGTACGACGCGGCCATTGATCGAAGCTTACGGTGCGGCAGGGAGCCAAGAAGGGGCAGGTGGCCGAGGAGGGGAAGCCCCGGCGGCGACGGCGGCATTCGCCGGCCATCCCTGCTGGACGGAGAACCCTTCCTCCTTGTGGCGAAGAGGAGCAGGGAGAGGAGAGCAACCAGCAGCAGTGCAACAAACGGTGAGACGTCCATGTCTGGCACTGCGCCGAGCTGAGGTCAAGTGAGGCAGGACGAGGAGGTGCATGGTAATACGGCGATGCTGTTGGTACATACAAAATGCATGATTGAGGACACACCGGCATTATCCTTTTGTATGTAGTAGAGCACCCAAAATATATTATATTATATTCCACGTAGCATCAGCACAAGTTTTCCACGACACGTCATCATAAGTGGCAAAAGCTAGGCTCCAAATCAGAGCCGTCTAGAACATTGCATTTGGAAAAACTGAAAACACCACTAAAGATCAGGATTTGTCCGTGGTAGCACAACACAATCTAGCAAAGCGAAACCGACAAGGTAGCAAGACTTATTGTTTTTATTTCAATTTATTCTTGAAAACAAAAATGAAAACCTGATTGTGACAGAATCGTTTCACAGACAAAATGTAACAATTAAATGCTATGGCTACCATATGAAAACTGCAAAATGAATGAAGTTGTATATTGTAGGTCTTGTTTCCCTCGTCAACCAAACCTTTGCTATCTTTAGATAATGTGACACTCTAAATCATAAAATGAAACTCTTTTTCCTTAGAAGTATCATCAACAGCTCTTTTAGGATGTGTTTGGTTGCTGGAATTGCATTGGATGGGATGGAACCATCCATGGATGAGGTGTTTTTGGTTGGTGGATTACTGGATAAGGAAATTCATGGATATGGAATATTTCATCCAGATGCTGGATTTCGTGGTCCGAAAAAATATGGCGGACCAGTTTATCCATGTCTTATAATCTTTGTCATTAGTAAATGAATTAAGGATTATTAGCATGTTATTTTAATAAAATTAATAATTATGATGGTAGGATTAGTTTTGATAAGTGCTAATATGTTGATTAGTGCATGTTTTGTGTGCTAATTAGGATATTTAGTGGTGCTAATTAATATATTTTATTTTAAATTAGTGATTATCATGACAAAATAGTATTAGTGCATACTTTTTAGTGTATAATTAGTTGTTATTATTTTTAAATAATAGATATAATTAGTCAACTATTCTCATCCCATCCACTTTCGTCCGTCCAACCAAACAGAAAAATGGCTCGTCCCATCCATCCAACCAAACGTGCATCATGAATATCCTTATCCCAACATCCATGAATCGTTATATCCCATCCAACTTGTCCTCGAACCAATTTGTGTAAATGATTTTAGACCCATTTCCTTACTCAAATCTTCTATCAAAATCATCACCAAGCATGCATTCATGATATATATAGAGATAACAAAGTTTCAGTCTCAAGCTAGAACTACACAATCCTAATTGACACCCTTGTCCAACTTATTATTAGATGAGACACATTTAATTAGACCGCTATCATGTCATATTTTCTTCTATGTCAAGAGCTAATATGTTACACTGGCTACCTATGCCCTTGGCCTTGGCTTTGGTGCGTCACCATCATAAGATTGGATAGGCTCCTACCATTATCTTTGTCTCATTCTTCTTAAGCAACATAAACTTGAGCTTATCACTTGAACTATTCCTTCACATAAGAATTGAACTTCATAGCTTCGAGTGACCATTATTCAAGATTCAAGAATAACATATGTTTTGGACAAATGATTCTTCATGGTTGCTTGGTTCTTCAATGTTGTGCCAAAGCATGCTCACTTGTCCATCACATGTGTACCTTGGCGAAAGACCTTTGCTTTCCCTTCCCTACTCGTATGGTTCTTAGTAGCCAAGGGAATGCATGCCAACCCTTCACCTTCTTGCTATCTTAAGTCACATACAGGTCCATATCACAATAAGCATTCATCTGAATTCCACGTCGTCAAGAATTTGATCTTTGCTTCCCTATTGACTTCGTATCAATATAGTGATCAAGCAAGCTCCAGATTGTCTTTCCTTAAGAAAGTTCTTATCTTCTTGAAAGATAGCCCTTTTCTCTTGATCAAATATACCACTTATAATAAAACCAAACAAGAATCCTTCACAATTTCTACTCATGCCACCAGTGGCGGAGCCAGAATCACAATCAAAGGGGGCCAAATTTGTCAGATTGATCATAGTTTTGTGGTCGATCAGCTAGTACTTGTTAAAGATAGATGAAACAACTACTGATTTATATGCGCACTTTGCAAAGAAGGTAAGCTTAGAATATCTAGCTCTCCAGATGGACAGTTTAGACTTGCAATTATATACATATACGGAGTAAACCTTAATTAATCTTGGATAGCAAGGTGGGGCGGAGGCTAGTATGGCCTGCACTTGGCTCCGCCAGTGCATGCCACCATGTGCCACCAGAACACCGTGTTGAGCTACCACCAAAAATCATCCTAGGGCCATAGATCTGCTTGAGAGAACGATGGATCCATGCATGGGGCCGCGGATCCGGTCGCCGGAGCGTTAGAAGATCCTACAAGAGTGCTGGAATAAGGCATTATGCCACCCACATGACACGTTTGTGCCGCCAGACGAGGAACGCCTTGCCGCCACCTTCCTTACGGGTGCTTAACCTCCAATCCCCAACTTGGGCAAAGGCAAGGAGAAGAGAGGTGAGGGTGAGTATGCCCGGTGGCGGCTCGATGAGACACCCCCGTGATGCTTATGGGAGCGACGCAGGGGGAAAGTGGCAAAAACAAAATGGTATTTTGGACTTCTTGCTAGCAAAAGATGGAGAGTGGAGCTGGCACACCAAAGTACGCACAAGATATAGAGAAGATGCTGGAGGACGAAAAGATATAGAGAGACTGGTTTTTATTTAAATCGTTCTCCGAATAATAATTTAGAAAGTGGGTATAAGAAAAAAATATTGGATGCTAATAGTTTGGTTGGCATTTGTGGTTGGTGTTTTTTCAACTTGACACTTCTAGAAACAGGAAACCGGAATTTTCCTGACATTTGTGGTTGGTGTTTTTTCAACCAATTTCTAGAAATACCCTTAAACCATTTGTGGAGTGGTGGAATTGGTTTGCAATTGCAATTCCACACCAAGTCACTCCAACACACATGGATTGAGGTGGATACATGGACATCCAAACAAGACTTGAGGGTTTTTTTTCTCGATCACGCAAAAGGTTTGCTCATCTTTGTATTAAGATAGTGGAAAAGTTCAATACAACACGCCTTAACGGCGCCCTAGGTGGTCAGAATAGATATATAAGGACGCTCGGACCCTCCCTAGTGTATTGAAAGCTATGCTGTTACATTGGGCACTGATCAACCCGAATTGCGCCGTCTGCTAGGAGGCTATGCCCAGGCTTTCGAGCAGCGGCGACGCTGCTTGCGCAGACCCACGTCACCGTCCGGTGGGAACAACTCACGTAGCACCTGCATATTACCAGCGTTCCCGCCGAAGACTTCATCGTACGCCTTCAGAGCCGGGGTCGAAGGAGACACCATCCCGCTAGATAGTCCCAGGCGCTTCAAGACAAGGTGCTCACCTCGTTTGGACGCTGGGATATGTGATAAGCTCTGCGTCGATATCCACCTGCTCCTCTTGGGGAGTATGGGCGGTGTACGTTCGCCATGGGAAGTGACATTGGGCAGCTCCAGAAGTGGTGGCGGCCTCGGCTTTGTGATTCGCTCAGTGAAGCGCTTCAGGCGTCCATCGGCAGAGGTCGTGGATGGAGTGCGGTTAACATCATCCGTGGTAGCCACCACCGTCGCATCGCCTAGGGTGGCTGCCCCAACCAGCGCTGGGTCAGCGCGTGTCTCGACTGGCGATGTGAATTGTGGCGGCTCCATCACTGGCGACGTCGGAGGCGAGACCGATGTCCACTTCGCAGCCCTCGTCGGAGTGTCCACCCGGGATGCGTCTGCATCTTGAGAGGTTGTAGCCGATCCCGGTAAGCTCCTAGGCACTGGTGCTCCTGCTAGGCTCACGACGAGTGAGGCGGTGAGCTCCTCCAGCATTGGGTCAACCCACGCGGGAGTCTCTGAACTCGCACATAGCTCCAACACCAGTGGAACTGGTTCGGGGAGCACAGTGCAGCAGTGGCACAGTCATCAAGTGCGCCCAAACTGATGTCCCCCGATGACTGACTCTGGCGTTGCCATCGTCGTCGTCGAGTTCCACCGGCGCCCCTCGCGGCAGCCTGCACGGCCCCGTCCGAGCCACCATGTGGCGTGAGCTAGGAGGCCCATAGGTTCCTGCTATGGACGGAGTGGCGTGTCTGGTCATCACCCTGTGTCGCCGACATCGCTGCATGCCTGAGTGGCTAGCATTCCCTGGCGAGGAACGTCGTGGCAACCAACAAGTCGCTACTCGATGTGAGTAGGAAAGGCAGTTGAAACATCTATCATGAAGCTCCACGGGGATCTTCTGGGTCGGCGGAAGCTGCTTCTCAACCGAGGCGGTCGCCGGTCGTGTCTCCTGTCGTTGGAGAATCTCCCGCCACCCATTCACGTCAGGGGCAGAAACCCGACCGTGGCGACCGAGGCGTTGGCGAACAGGGATGCGGCCATCCATCGGCTGAGCTGGTAGACCACACATCAGCTAGGGACATGGCCGGATGTGCTTCCTCTGCCTTTGCCCAGGCCCCTACCGCCCCGCGTCTGCCCCGCGACAACTCATAACCACGGTTGAACGATTTTGGGCGCACGGCGGGGATGCAACTATCGGCTTGGCCGGGCGACGAACAACATCCAGATAGGTTTTTGGGAGGTCGTCGTCGGAGTCCTCGCTATCATCATCAATGTTCGCCCACCGACGATGCTTCGTGCGTCCTCCCGAAGTGCAACCTAGGTAGAACGGGGCCACCGCCGGTGAGACGTCGGAGGAGCTAGGGATGTCCAGCATCGCCACGAGCCCGCGATAGGCCCAAAAGTTCCGTACTTGGTCCCAGACAGCGTGGACCCGACTGCCTGGTTGTCTGCGGCTACCCCCGGCGGCGGCGGTGGGGTGCCGGTGGAGGAGGTGGCCGCGGTGGCGGCGGCATCCTACTGGGCGACACCGGTGGAGAGGCCTGCCGCGGGCGGTGGCGGTGACTGAGCCGCGTGCTCCCCTACGCCGGCCTTCGCGTGC